GGCTCTTCCACAAAATACCGACTTCTGCGCATGGGCCACGAAGTTTCAATCGCACTGTATGTGCACGCCTGCACGTGGTATTTTGTGGAAGAGCCACACTCAAGGGGCCAAAGAGCCGCATGTGGCTCGCGAGCCGCGGCTTGCCGACCACTGAGCTGGGGCATCACAGCCTTTTTCTCCCCGGGCCTTGGAGGAAGGGTGGCAGCTTGCCTGTGGCCGCAGGCTGAGCCCTGCAGGCTGCACCCACATAGAACCTGGAACTGCTCTGGGCCTTTTGGGCATGTATTCAGGTACACGTGTGTGTGTGTGTGTGTGTGTGTGTGTGTGTGTGTGATGAAGGTCAGTTACAAACAGGCTCTGAAACCATCCAGACACGTGTCTCTGACATGATAAAGCCATGCTAGCAAACATGTTGGGAACAGTAGTGAGTTGGTTGAAGGATTCTGCTATAAAGTGAAGAGTCCCGCCAAACGATGCACTCCTGTGATGCTTGTTTCAACTTACACAGTCTTTAAAGAGGCAAGAGTTTTCCCCATGTTGCACAACAGGAGGTCATTTTCCCTGGAATCCTCACCACTCCTTGCTGGCCGGCTCTCAGCACTCCCGAGGGGGTTGGGAACAGTAGTGAGTTGGTTGAAGGATTCTGCTATAAAGTGAAGAGTCCCGCCAAACGATGCACTCCTGTGATGCTTGTTTCAACTTACACAGTCTTTAAAGAGGCAAGAGTTTTCCCCATGTTGCACAACAGGAGGTCATTTTCCCTGGAATCCTCACCACTCCTTGCTGGCCGGCTCTCAGCACTCCGGGGGGGGGGGGGTGGGGGGGGATTTCGGGCGTTCCTGGCTTTACCCCCCACAGTGCACCCTACGACCTCTTTGTTGATTTCATGAAAGTGACCCAGGACCTGCAGGACACTCAATGTGCCATCTGCATGCACTATCCTTTAGCATTTTTATGACTTTCCCCACCTATCTCCACCTACTTCGAAGAATTTTTTTTCCCCAGACTCACCTTGTGGAGTCTTTTGAGAACACTCAACTTAGTTTTCATAGAAACAACATATTTCTCTCTTTCCAGTCCACGTTTCGTGGTTTTATACTATTCCTCGGGGGTGGATGGGACAGACGCTGAAGCCTCCTCTCGCAGGTGCAAGCCAGGCCCATTGCTCCACCGTTCAGCCCAGGAGGGGTGAGGATGGGGAGGGGGCTGGGCCAGGCACCAGCCCTCTGGGCATGGGGTCAGGGAGGTGACAACAGGCAGCAGAAGGAGGGGACATTTTAAAAGAAGATGCGGGACAGAGTCAAGGCTCCAGCTCCAGCTCCAGACAGTTCTCCGGGCAAAGGGAGGTGTGGATTTGTCCCGGAGATCCGCAGGAACTCCTACATGGATCAAGGGATTAGTATCGATTCTTCTGCCTCTGCTCAGGAAAAGCCCCGTGCCAGAGCTAATCAGCTCCCGGGCCAGTCAATCCTACTTCATTAACCCGGCCCTGTCCTCCTGCAACCCGGCCACCGTCCCTGCACCCCGGTCTGGCCCTGGCTTCAGCCACGAGCTCCTGCTGGGCCTGCAGGGCACCGGCTTGGCCTCTCTCCACTCATCAATCCCCCAGCCTCCTGCTCAATTCTTCTTCCCCCACCCCCATCATCTGGAGGGGAAGGGAGAGCAGGGGACAGGGATCCAATAGCTCCCTCCACTCCAAGAAGTGAAGTGAGGTCTGCGAGGGATGCTTGGTCGGAATGGCGAGCCTTCTCGGTGACATCCCTGTGCTGGGCCAGCAGGATTCATTTTCTCCACACCGCCCGGTCCTTTCGTCTTCAAGACAGCCCGGTGAGGCAAGCAGGCGGTCTCCTTTCACAGTTGGGGAAACTGAGGCTTAGAAGGGCTGCGTGACCAGCTCCAGGTCTGGAGGCCATCTCTGCCAGGGCCGCTCAGGCTCGGCCTTTGGACTCTGAATTGGTGCAACCCCACCTCACGCCGCCTCCCCCACTGCAGAGCCAGCACGTGGGCTCCCGGGCCACCCTCAGGGCCCGGCTCCCTGAGCCTGCTGGGCTTCCACCTGCTCTCAGGGTGCAGCACGGATGGAGAGAAAGGCCAGGCCCTGGTGAGGTCCACATTCCGCCTCTTGGCCTGGCCACTGCCGGCTCTCACTCCCGGCTACTTCTGATAGGAAGGGTGGCAGCTTCTGTTCACGGGCATCAGTACTGCACCAGAAGCTGCTGTGATTACCAACGTGGAAAGGGCCTGGAGGGACCTGCCTGGCCTGGTGCCCTCTATGTCCCCAGCTGGGCTTTTGGCTGCCTGCCAGAAGGCAGGACGGAAGCCAAAGACCCCCAAAGTCCCATTGCACCCCCAAAAGGAGAGGCAGTGAGGAAGAGTGGCGGGATCCTCAGAAGGGACCCCTTCCTGTCTCAGGGACTCATGTTGGCCCTTTTCGGCCTCCGTTTCCCCATATCCAGTGTGGAGCTGTTAGGCCTGGTTCACCGTCTGGCAAACTCCAGGATGACCTTAAAGTCAACCCGGCTCAGTTTCCTTATCTGTAACTCTTACGGGCTATTTTGGGGATCAAATGAGGGAAACATCTAGCTTGAGGCCTGGCACCCAATTAGCACAAAACACGCTCGCTAATGTAAAATAGGACAGCGGTTCCAACAACCTCCACCTGGCTTTAAAATTCAGCTGAGTCCAAGCGCCGGGAGGAGAGGGGAGGGAGAGGGCACTTCGGCTCCTTCCTGGTGGGTCCGCATTCACGGCCTCAGGGGCAGGTTCCTCTCTCCAAGGGCGAGGCTATGCCGAGGTCGGACTCCGTGGAAAGCAGGTACGTTGGCACGTGGCAGCGTGCTAAACTGGGTGTGTGTCAGCGGCCAATACACCAGAGAAAGGAGATTTCCCGCATGTGGGGAGGCCAAGGCCCTGAGTGTGGGACTCTGGCCGCTCCCCCTGCCTGCTCCCCCTGCCCGCTCCCCCTGCCTGCTCCCCCTGCCCGCTCCCCCTGCCCGCTCCCCCTGCCCAGCTCGGATCTTCAGGCCCAGCTGCTGCTCTCTGGCTGGCACTCCCACTACGGTTTTCCATCATGGCCCCAGCACAGCCCCCTGGGGGGCACTGTCTGTCCCCCCCTTTTACAGATCTGGAAACCAGCTGGGGACTGCAAGGTTTTGCCCCAGGCAGACAGCCTGGGCCTGCCCTGGTGTTGGGACACCTCCTGCACTCCCTGCCTCTGCCCATTCGTCCTGTGTCTCGGCCCAGAGACTGGTGCTCAGAGAAGGAATGGGGGGCGGGTTCAGGAGGTCGGGCGTCATCTTTCCTGACCCCAGAGCTGTCAGAGCATGGAGTTTCTCCTCTCCTGGCCTTGGGGCTGAGAGCCCGCCATCAGCAGGGGGCTAGGCCCTAGCAGTGGTCGGCAAACTGCGGCTGGCGAGCCACATGCGACTCTTTGGCCCCTTGGGTGTGGCTCTTCCACAAAATACCAACTTCTGCGCATGGGCCACGAAGTTTCAATCGCACTGTACATGCGGGCCCGCACGTGGTATTTTGTGGAAGAGCCACACTCAAGGGGCCAAACAGCCGCATGTGGCTCGCGAGCTACAGTTTGCCGACCACTGGGCTAGGGCAACAGACCTAGGGCCTATCATTTCCTGCCCTTTCCCCAGCTCCTCCATCAACTGTTAGTGCAATCAGCTGACCCCACTGCCTGGATGAGACATAGTTAACGAAGGGTGTTGAAGTGGGTGGGGGAGCCTAAGAAGACCTGCGAGCCCAGGGTGGGCAATGTGTGCCCCCCTGCGAACACGCAGGTGTGAAGGTGATGAATGGAGGCTCCCCACATCTCCATCCCCCAGAAGGTAGGTTATGCTGACATGGTTTTATAGGCCGTGTATTATATACGACAACAGCAGGGCGGCCGTGGATCGCTGAGATGGAGCCTGGAATACGCAAAGGCACACGCTGAGGCAGCCTCGCCACAATCACAGGGTTTTCGGGGTCACCCAGCGCTCCGGACCCCAGGGGGTGCTCTGAGAGTAGGGGACAGATTTCTTTCTCAGGGTTCAGGCAGGTGGAGCAGAATGCAGGGGTCACCTGCACCTGGGATGCTCCTGCCCTCGCTGAGCCTCCGCCAGCTGAGTTCCTGCTGGGCCTTTGAGGACTGGCAGGTGCACTCATCCAGGGACTGTCTCCAGGGTCAAGGCGCTGAGGATGCTCAGCCAGCACTGGACGGTGAGGGAAGCGACGGAGGCCCACGCCTGACAGCATCCCCTCCAATAAAATGGGGCTCCTTCCTCTCTGTGCCCTTGATGCCTGGCACCGGCGTGAACTCTGAGCATGCGGGGGGCTGCTGGGCCCCGACCCTGAGATAGCCCTTGAGTGGGAAGGCGAGTGGGCGGAACCACTGTTATTGGGCACCTTTTTGCTCTGGGTCTGGCATGGGAGAACCTGCCAAGCGGATAAATGAAATGCGGTTTCTGCGTCCAAACAAATACCGCTCAGCCCGAGGAGGGAAGACAAGCCCGACACGGGCCGCAGCCGGCCTGGACACGCACGGCACGTGCACGCATGGACGGCGCCTGAAGTGGTCGCCCCGGGGAGGCGGAGCAGATGGGGGTGACCTGGAGCCAGGCAGCGGAAGGGGCGTTGTTTAACAAGCATCCGGTATCCAGTGGGCAAGACGGGAGTTCTGGGCAGGGGTGGCTGCCCGACAATAGGAATGTGACTTTACTTAATACCTCTGGACACTTAAAGATGGTTAAGATGGTGATTTCTTTTTTTTACCACAATGAAAAAGAACTG